GGTTATGTTTCTTCTGTTCTTTCTATTAAAGTACAATTGACATTTGAGTGAGGCAAATTTGTATGTAGAACAAGGTTCACAGTCTTTTGGCTGGGTTTAGTTTAGCAGCAGAGTCTTTACCCTGTAAACTTGTAGTATCCCTGCAGATTGCCAGCACTGCACAGAAAAAGGAGAAAGAAACAACAGCAGCAATCAAGGCAAACAATATACAGCATTAAAATAAATACCGGGTTCCCAACAGTGATTACCATGAAAATAGGAATGGAGGGGTTACCAATTGTTAGCAAAAAACAATAAATAGCCACGAACCAAATCTGGTAGTTAAATGCACAGCAGATGTCAACTGTGTCATCCACAGCACTAATAACTGCAACAACATGAGTGGGTGGGGTGGAGTAACATAGACCTAATAGTTCTAACAGATGATAAAATGAAGTTTATTAAGAGAAAAGAAAATGTGATAGGAAGGTAGAAGAGAGTTTAGAGTGTTCAAAATATGAACAGAGATAATGCAGAAGAGATGTATCTGGTGTGGTTATAGAGAAGGAGGAGGGATAGTAGAAAAACCAAAGTAAAGGAGAGAGAAATAGGAAATGAGAGAACCCGGGTGTTAGCAGAATAGTGGAGAAACAAAAAACAAGAGAAACAAAAAAACCAAACAAAAATGAAACAGAGTCAAAATAAATAAACCAAATGCCCTAACCCTTAAAAGACAAGGAAAAATAGCTATTGTAAAAAACAAAACACAAAAAATACTAAAACTGAGAAAGGAGAAGAAATAAATATGTATATACCTACAAACAAATCAACACAGCAAGAACACAAAAAGAAAAAGAGGAAAAAAAAAGGATAAAAGATTATTATTATTTTTAAAAAAAATTTTTTTAGTTGTAGGTGGGCACGGTATCTTTATTTATTTATTCATTTATTTTTTACGTGGTGCTGAGGATCGAACCCAGTGAGTGTCTCACACATGCTAGGCAAGCGCTGTACCACTGAGCCACAATCCCAGCTTGGATAAAAGATTCTTAAGGAAAGAACTTTGTCCATTGCCCCGTGGTAGTCAAAACAGTTAATAAGAGTGGACGGTCCCTGCTTATGCCTCTCCGTCCTTTCCATTTCTTCTTGGGCTATGTACAGAGAGAGGGAACGCAAGGGCTGAGGGTTGTTAATCCCTTCCTCTTCCTCTTTTTGTGTTGTTCTCTGAGCTGCTAGCTTGAGTGCCCTAAAACTGAAGCTGGCTGAAATGGCTCTCAGCTTCTCTTCTCACCAGTATAAGGTAGGACAGAATGGGAAGTCCTGTTGGTTGGAGTTTTGTCTCGACAGTTTAGACAGATGCGTTCCCAGGGTGGGCTGCTGCAGAGTTCTAAGAGAGAAGTTAAAACAGCTAGGACTTAGATCTATCAGGCTTAACTTTTTTTTTTTTTTAAATTTTTGGCTGGAGTGGTGAGGGAGCCTAGCTCTGGAGAGATTAAATCAACATACCCCAGGGCCAGGCTGATGCCAATGTCTGTGGGGATTCTGGAACTCAGGAGCCTCCCAAGAATTCTACTTGCTCACAAATTCACCCCTCTGTTCTGACCTCCTGACTCTTCAGCGGGTCATGGGAGCCACCAGACTCAAAGGGAAAGTGAGTTGCACTCCCCTGTCTTTCTGGCTTGAATCCCCATAGGTACAATCTGGTGTGTGCTTGTTTCACTCATATTCCAGGTACACCCCAGGCCCCCTGTGAGGTGCTTGCAGGGGCAACATGGCAATGCTTGATGTGATGCAGTGTTGCTCCTGCAGCAACAGCTGCACAGTGGCCGCCTCAAGATGGCTCCCTCCTCAGCTCTCCACTTGCCAGTTGAAAAATGCAGAGCACTTTTCAGACACCACTTTGTTGTGCAGCTTGTGGACCCGCTAAGTTCAGGCTGCGTTTCTGATCTAAAGTTTTTTCCATGTCAAATTTGTCTGTTGTGTTTCTCTGTTATCCCTCCCGTCTGCGGTGAACCAGCATCATGGCCAGGGCCACTGTCGATTTGGCTCCAATGTACTTTCTTGTTCCTTGTTCAATGAAACTATATTTCTGAGTCTCCAAGAAACACTGACGGCCTGATACTGAATTCCAGTGAATTTTCCCTCTTACACCCACCTTGCTGAGAAGCAGTCCTCCCACTGCTTGAATCCCAAGCCTGGAGCAAAACATATGGAGTGCTTCAGGATTTCACGTGTCATCTTTGTGTAGGGGCTATGCTCATCTTCTCAGTATCGTTCCAATTTTAGTATATGTGCTGGTTTGGCCTTTGAGCTCATTTTAAATACTTCCCAACTCTGTCTAAAGAAATGACTATTTCGTATACCTGGCTCAATTTGTAGAGTATTACACGGGAACTTGTAACTTCTGACATGCATTCCTGGTATTCTTTTTCATAATTGTAATATCTCTCTGCTTCAGTTTCCTTGTTGTTTACTATATTGAGTGTTGGGAATATTATGAGGTATATAGGAAATATGATCAATCATTTTCTCATTGGGGAAGGAAAGGAAGGAGAAGAGAACTCATTTCTTGAGGTAATACTTAGAGGAGTTTCCTTATTGGGTTTCATTTAATCTTCTCTGCATCCTTAAAAATTAAATTTGGAATGTATCATTTTACGTAAAAGGATGCTGAAGCCTAGAGATATAAAATGACTTGCCCACGCGTAACAGTGAGTCATTCCTGGCACTAAGATTCCACATCAGATTTGTCTGACTCTGGACACTGTGTCCTGCCCTTGCATCACATTGCCTCCCTTAAAACAAACTAACAAAATTAATCCCGAAGGTGCTCCAACAAAATTTAAAAGTAAAGGAAAATGTTTGTAGGGAGGTGGTGATCAGTGTGATATGGGGTCTTCCATGGCTATTTATTGCCCTGGCAAATTTAAGAAATAGCTTCATCAATGTTTTTAGGGTATGTGCTTTTTATTTAAAAGGCATATATTTATTTTTATCATGTGAGGAATCGATAAGGTATGTAGACAGAAAAGTGGGAATAAAATGATGTAGATTCATTGATTTTATAATTTAGTTTAATTTTAACAATTATCTTGACTGTTGTACAGTTTTGATTTATGTTTTAAAAACTTTCATCTTACATATTATGGAAAATTATGTTTTGTTCAACATATTTTCAGTGCCTGCTATTTTTCAAATCCCATATTAGCCCTTCTATATTTAGATTGGCTGCCATCTCTAAATAGAAGATGCTTTGTGGAAAATTTACTAGTGTGGTAGCAGTTTCCTTTGCAATTCAGAAGAGAGTACTTTTTTTTTATATCCTCAGAGATGATAAACTTTGGTGACATTGACACTTAACTGAACTCACAAGGCATTGCCAATTTATTAAATTACCATGTGGGACATTCTCTCTCTCTCTTTTTTTTTTTAATGTGTGAAAAACTTGCTTCTCCATTTAGGATACTTTCTTTGCTAGTATCAAAGTGTTCTGGAAGTTGAATTAGAAGATCGAGTGTTTGAATTTGACTTTACAGCAAAAGGTGGGAGTTGTTTAGCCAGGCAATTCTAATAAAATATCCCACCCTCAGGAGGGAGTCCCTCTCTGGTGGCTGTAGTGACATCTCTCCTTGCTGGTGGTGGATGAATACTGACAGATTGCCTCACTGCACCTTGCCTTTCCACCTTGCTACTCCTCCCCTTATGGAGTTCAAGGCTAATTACTGTGGCATTTTTCTTTCTTTCTTTTCTTTTTTTCTACTGTGGCATTTTTCTGTTGTACTGCTTGGCAGTCCCTGGGAATCTCCTTTGCTGTGTTGTGTTTTGGATTGAATTTCTGAGATCTAGAGCTGCCTACTGTGGTAATCTGCATTTGATTAGCCACCACACCTCCATAACCTTACCCCTGTTTTAGAGATGCTACCTTACATTTAGTTGATTTGTTCCAGGATCAATGTTTACTCTTTTGTACAACATCAGAGTTGTACTCCTTTGCATACAGGTACTCCACAATTAAGATAAGAGTGTATTCCTTTATATGCAAGGTCAAGTTCTGGGAATAGGATTAAAGAGTGTGAGGCAGACCAGACCCAGGATTTCATAGTGTGGAGTAGTTACAACATTGGCCTCTGTGCTTTGCCTTGCTTGTGCTCTTGTTATTCATTTAGTAGTCCAGAAATGTCTTCACCCTCTAAAAATCCTCTAGGAGACTGAGTCCACTAAAGAGTCGCCTTTTTTTTGAGGCTGAGGGAAGACAGGTCCTTTGATATGTTTTGGTCTTGTTTTGATAGATATTCTTCCTCTACTCTGTGGTTGGTGGAAAACCATCTAGCCTCTTGAGTAGTTATTGCTAGTTATTGGTATTAGTAGTTATTGGTATTAGTGGAACATGGATCAGGATTATATTGGTTCTTCTGCTATTTTTTCTTCTACAAAGTGTAAGTGCATGCTGTATTTATACAGTTTTCTTATACACTTATCTGAAATAACACTTTGTCTAATTGGAATCTAATTCTGATTATTAGCATGTCAATTATCCTTTACTTTAGATTTATTTAGTTATACTTAGTAATTATAAGCCTGTACTCACCTCTTACCATTCATTTAGAATTTGTGTTTTGTTTTTGTGACCCACCTGAGCTACTCTTGATTTGATTTGTGAAGCTGGAGTTATTCAGGTGCTTTGCAAGTTAACTCAAAAATTCTGTTTTAGATGCTATATATGGGAATAAAAGAAAGAATTATCATGAATTCTGCCCCCAAACGGTTCAAAACAGAGGATACAAGGCTAGGAAAAGAATAAGTTTTGTTATATGTTTAAAATTATTAATAGAAATTGATGTATTTGTATGTGTGTACTACATACATTTAATATGAACTATATTGTACTTACATGAAAATGTTACTGGAAGAGTTTAGCATTTAGGAAAATATCATAGTAAGCTTGATGAATGCTATTAATTTAAGTATCTGAGCTAAAAAGGGACCTTTAAAAATCCTTTTTCCTTTTAACATGAATATAGTTTTACCAATTCTCTGCTGGAAATCAGCGAGAAGGAAGACTTTTATGCCACGGACATTACCCTGAAATCCTTGTGGTGGATGCTACCAGCCTTGAGGTGTTATACTCCTTAGTATCAAAGATATCACCAGACTGGATTAGCTCCATGAGTATTATTCGATCCCATCGGACACAAGGTCAGTGTGTTCCCTTTAGATGTCTGCTTTATGACTTACTGCTTGGTTTACTGTCAAGTTTATAATTTGTTAAAATTAATAATTTTGATTATATTATGTAAGAAAAAAGAAAATTAAGAAATAATAGCTTTAATAATTTGTGGTCTGTTTCCTGCTTCATAAAGGAGAATTTGATTTAATTAAGATTTAACATGTTACATTGTCTTCATTCTATGGGAGGAATCACTAGCTGTGGGCCTTAGCCACATGTGATTTTCTGACGTGGAGGAGGGGTATTGTAACCCTTTTTGGGTATGGTGGGAGAAACTGTGACTTCACCTGTATATTTATGGATTGTGGTTTTGTCACTTGCTAAGAGACACAGGAAGTATTTCTGTTTCATATGGAGAAATTGAAAAGGGAGGAGATTAATCAAAGCTCCTGGTAAAGACAAATGAGAAGTTATACTCCATTTATGTATGATGTGTCAAAATGCATTCTGCTGTCATGCATAACTTAGTAGAACAAATAAATATATTTTGAAAAAAGATCCTGTCTGGTACATACTTGACATAAATATTATTGTCTTTTGTTCATTTGTTTTGAATTAAAAACCTTTCAGTAACAACCTTGAGAGCAAATATAAATTATTTAAGAAAAGAACATTGATAAATGCTGAATGTTGAGTGTATGTTATTTTAAGCCTATTGAGGAGCACTCTTTTTCTCCCAGTGGCTACATAGTTAGGTGTTTTTCTATAGAGATTGACTGTTAGTTCTTACCACCACAGGGACTTTATTTATTGAGTGCTTACAGTATCAGGTATAATATGCTAAACAGTTGTATTTGACCAAGTTTCACAGTACCCCTTGGGGTACTTGCTGTTGTTATTTCTCATATAAATGAGGAGACTGATGAGGTTTAGGGTGGCAGAGTCTTTGCCTAAGAACCCAGAGGTTCTTAGGTCTGGCTGACTGGTGGCCAGATGGACTCCAGAGTTGTTACTGTGTTCCGTTGCTTATATGAAGGAAGTGTCTTCAGCTCTGTGGGAGCTTGCCTTTGCTACCTCTTGAGTGGGCTGGAGTTGATCCATGCGCTGTAGCTTGCTGGCTCCCACTCTAGATGATGAATAGTCTCTGCTAAGAATGCCCGAAGCGACGTGGGTTGTGATGTGTAGTGGAGAATTACAGCTATCTTCCTGAGCATAACAGTGAAATGAGATTTGATTTAATATTCCAGGCAATAGGGAACTCAGTTTTATGATGCTTACCTCCAATCTTAGTTACAATCAATGACTTCTTTAAAAAGGGACTATTTTTGTGACCAAGCAGTTTGCATATTTTGAATTTTTACACTCTATATGCATGTACACTTTGGTCTAAATGGAATAGAATGTAACTTTAATGGAAAATTTTTTGGAGTCCATGCAATTCTAGATGTTATCTGTTTATAATGTTACAAACATGCAATTTTTAATCAGCAGTTACCTTTTTCTGGTCTATGGGTATTTCAGAGTTTTAGATATATTGTTGTGTTACAGCTTTACTGTATAGGGGTCATGAATTGTGATCAGTGCATTCCAGTGCCTTCTGTTGCCTAGGGAACCACTGCATGTGATATGATGAGGTTTTTAAAAATGCAAACAATTATTTTAGCAAAAGCAGTGACTAACCTTTATTAAGGATTGGTATATACCAATGTTATACCTAAGGTGTATCTTAATTTTGATAACAGCCTATTAGGATAGGCCCTGTGGTTATCCATTTCTATTTGCTTTTAGGTAAGTATACCAAATTTAAGATAGGTTCGTTAAGTTATCCATAGTTCATTGGTTAATTAGTAAAGAAAAAAGCGATTTTGATTTTACCATATATCTCCCTAATTCTGAAGCCTTGTCCTCTCAAAAGTTTACATATATTTACTATGCTGTTGTGACTGGTCCCTGAACTGAGACTTATGTATTGAGGTGACCTCAAAAGGTTTGGGATTTCACCCCACCGGCACGCACACCATCAGACCTGTAGAGGACATCAGCCAGCAGTCCTTTCAGTTCTGACACTGGCTGGGCATAGCATCGGATCCCATACATTAAGGGCTCAGATGCAAGACTTCTTCCCTGCCCCAGTTTTGATGCCAGTCACAGGTCCCCAGGTTTTTTACCTGTGCTTTGTGTTGTGATTGACCAGCTACAAATAGGAGGTTCCACACCTTCCTCTTCAGGTTCAGTTAATTTCGCTTGAGTGGCTTGAAGAACTTAGGAAAACTCTTATGTTTATTGGCTTATTATTAAGGATATTACAAAGGGTACAGATGAAGAAATGCATAGGATGAGTAAAGAGAAGGGAGCATGGAACTTACAGGCCCTCTCAAGGAGTAACACTTTACAGGATTCTCTGTGTGTTCAGCTGTTCCAAAACTCTCTCAACCCTTTTCTTGGGGTGTCTATGGGGCAAGACACCTAATGGAATAAAGTCTTGTGATCTACTATCAGACAGCGTAGGTCAGAGAATTTCTTCCTGGCTGCCACCTGCCTTGGGGAAACATAATCTATTTGGTCTGCCCTGGGGAGGCAGTAAGAGCCAGGAGCCATGGATGACAACCATATAGTGTCACACATGTTTTTCTTTTGATCACAGCCTGTGGGTACTATGCAGAAAAGTGACTGGAAGGCAGGCCAGTAGTAGAGGAAGGGGGAAGAATATGAGTGCCTTGCTTATCTGTGATAGCTAAATGAAAGTTGTGAATTTTGAATAATAAAATTTCTTTGTTAATCTATTAATCAAGAACAGTTGATATCATTAAAAACTTGGTAATTGGAAATAAAAAATTAAGTAACTAGAAACAATTTTCCTCGAATTATGAATTGTTGGTGATTTTTAATTAACCTATGTTTCAAAAGCTTATTTCTAGTTCATGAAAGAGAATTATGTTTTTCTGCCAATTATGAAACTGCTATTGTTAATTTCATTAAAACAAACTGTTTTAACATTTAGAGAGAAAGCATGCTATGTTTGTAACCTGGATTTCTTGTCGCTTCTTGATTTAGAGGACACTGTGGTAGCACTTTCAGTGACAGGCATCTTGAAGGTGTGGATCGTCACCTCTGAAATAAGTGGCATGCAGGTGAGACAAGTGAGACTGGGATTGGTTTCTCTGGTCTTATTCTGACATCTAAAGTTTCAGTGGACACACTCCTCCCTTCCCTCCTTTTTTTAAAAGGGAAGGAAAAGGCTATTTCTTTTTTGTGGTCCTAGGGACGTAGTATAAAAGATCTCTAGGGTGCTGCATGTGTGAGTGAATTATTTCTTTCTCTTGGCTGATGACATCTGCACCACCAAGATTAGGAAATAGAGAAACATATTGCACAGAACGTGAAGTAGAGGAACAGAAGAGGTAGAGTTTTCCTCTGTGGCTTTTGCTTAAATTAAGTTAAAAGGTAGTTTGCTTGAGGGAAAAGATAAAGCAATCCACTGTGAAAAGTACATGAAGTCAATTTTAGTCTCTGTCTCAGTATGATGGGCATGGATTCTTAGTTCTTTTTCTTTTCTTCTCTCTCTCTCTCTCTCTTTTTTTTTATCATAAGAAGGGCAGATCAATTTTCTGACAGTATTGATGCTACTCCCTGGAGCTAGGGAAATTTTAGGCATGGGAGATCCTAGAAGAACTGATTGGTTTTTTTTTTTTTTTGTCTCTCTCCTCCCTCCCTCCCTCCCTTCCTTCCCTAAAACACATATACTTACAGAAATTAGGATCAAGGCAAAATTTTATCATCTGCCTTTGCTAGAGTGATGACACACTGTCTCATCAGGACACAAATCCTGGGTAGCTTTGTAGCCAAGATGTTTGTGCCCAGCTGTGTTTCAGAGTATATTTTTGCTGTTTTTTAATTACCTTTCTCCTAACCGCGGGGCTAAAATGATGAACGTATCAAGCAATGCCTTTATTTTATGTTGGTGTCTTTAGCGTTGGGTGATAATTTTAACTGACAACAAAACTATTCCTGAAGTTTTACAAATGTTTTTCTTTTCAGGATACTGAGCCAATATTTGAGGAGGAATCCAAACCAATTTATTGTCAGAATTGTCAAAGCATCTCTTTTTGTGCATTCACGCAAAGGTCACTTTTGGTTGTGTGCTCCAAATATTGGAGGGTAAGATGACTACATAAGTAAGAAGCTCTATTTTTATCTTTTAAGATATTGGTTTATCAGACTTACAGAGATAGTCATAAAGAGTTGCTTGGTGAAAGACTTCTTTAGAATTTATGTCTGGTTTGATTTTTTTTGGGGGGGTACTGGGGATTGAACCCACATGTACTTAACTACTGATCTACACCCCCAGCCCTTTTTAGATATTTTATTTAGAGACAGGGTCTTGCTGACTTGCTTAGGACCTCGCTAACTTGCTGAGGCTGGCTTTGAACTTGCAGTCAGTCCTCCTGCCTCAGCTTCCTAAGCCTGTGGGCTTAGAGGTATGCGTCACTGTGCCTGGCTTGGTTTGATACTTTTGAGAAATACTTGGGACTTGGCTTTAGTTGTATTGTTTTGTTTTCATTCATGGACTAATTCGGTTAGTGATTTTATTGATCTTAATTCCTACATTTTGCTACTATTTTAGTTATTGTCTCATCTATACATAAAAGCAGTATGAGCACATGTTCTTCAGGACATATATTTCTTTGTAGGGTGTTGTTAGACCCAAATGCCATTTTTTTTTTCCTGGCTTCTTGGAGTTGTGAAGGTCTTCTTCCAGCACCTCAGAGTTAATGATGGAGGGAGTATATTATTTCCATGTTTCCAGAATTTAATATTTCTGTAATAGAAAAGTGGTCATCAACATGTTTTGAGAACTTTTTTCTTGTGTAGCACTTTTTTGAAAGCTTTCTGTGTATTTTTTCTTTTAATCCTCAGAACTCTCTAAGGGTAGGCGTATTAGGTAAGTTATTTAGTCCTGCTTAATAAATTACTCTAGAATGTAGCATATTAGAATAACACAAAAGCATTATAACCCATCTTATCATGGGTTAGTAATAAACCATCTTATTAGTAATGAAAGAACTATGCAAGAGGATAAAGTGAAAAGCGAGTCTGCTTCATACCCTTTCCCTGGTGCTTCCTTTCCCCTCTCCAGAGGCAATATCTAGTAGCAGTTTCTTTTGTGACTATTATAAGCATTTTATAATTAAATGAAACAGACACTTTTCTTTTTAAAAATGCATACATAAGTGAAAAGGCAACACACATGAGAGAAGATAGAGCATTCGCATATGATGAAGAACTTATTCAGTATTTATAGAAAGCCCGGTCCTACAAATCAAGAAGAAAAACACAGACAACCTAGCAGGAAAATAGACAAAATATTTCGCCAAAGAGGAAAGCCAGATGGCCAATAAATGTATAGAAAGGTGTTCAGCTTCATTAACATCAGAGAAATTATGTATTATTACAGACACTGAGATAGTACAACAACATGCCAGAATGGTATTTTTAGATATTTATTTCCATAAAGCAGTTTTTCATTTTAATGTAGTCCAATATCATCTTTTATGGTTTCTAGAACAATTGTGACATGTTTTTAAAGGGCTTACTATAAGTTGAGATTAAAAAATACTCAATTTACTTAATATTCTTATGGATTTACTTTACAGACATCTGATTCTTTTATCTTGAAATTATTTTGTATAAATGGTGATATATAAATACAACTCTATTTTCATTGCAGAAGGATGCCCTGTTCCTGATGCCATATGTTGAACAATCCATTTACTTTTCCATTGTGCCTTGAAAATATGCCGTTTTGCATGCTCCTAGACTGCTTAATTTGTCCATGCATTCATGCACCAATACAGTGCTGTATTATTTTAACTTTTATAGCTATATCGTTTGTTTTAATAGATCATAGTGCTGGAAGGCGGGTCTCCCTTCATTATTTTTTTTGGATTCTTCTTGGCTATTATTGTATTCCTAATGTTATATACTCATAAAAACTATTGCAAATCATTGGAAATTCAGCTAGGTTTATTCTAATTTCACGGGTTTGCACAGCCAACCTCTTATTTTTTTTTTTTTTTTAAGAGAAAAGTAAAACCTCTGGGCCATCAAGGCATGAGGAATTTTCATTTCTCCTGGGAAAGATTTGTAACAAAACAAAATGTACTTTCATTAAATATTGAAAGTGGTGGAAAGAATGATGCTGCTAGGAATTATAAGACCAGGGTTTTTAGTCTTAGCTATTTCATTTATTGGAACTGTGACCTTGAGTAAGTGATGTTACCCTTATTTGTGTCAGTAAACTGAGGTAGCAATAGTTGCTTGCATTTCTCCTGCAGTGATTTGAAGATTCCTGGGAAATTACCCTTGTAAAGGCACTTTGTAAAGTCTGATGTGCCTTATTTTACTGATGGAAGGCAATGTAAAGTCAGTAACCTCTGTTGCTGGTGAAATTATAGTGACTTGATTTTACATGTAAGATTTACTAAATAAGCTGGGTGTGGTGGCACACACCTATAATCCCAGTGACTCTGGAGAGAGGCCGAGGAAGGAGGATTTTGAGTTCAAAGCCTGCCTCAGCAGTTTAGCAAGGTCCTAAGCAACTCAGCGAGACTCTGTCTCTAAATAAAATATAAAAAAGGTCTGGGACGGTAGCTTAGTGGTTAAGTGCCCCTGGGTTCAATTCCCAGTGCAAACAAACAAACAAACAACCAAAAAACCCAATTTACTAAATAATGAAACATACAAGTATGTTGACTTGTATTTATAATATTTTAGAACATTGGTAATCTAAGTTAAACAAGGAAATGCTCCAATGTCAGAGTTGTGGTTAGAAATGTTACCAGAAATACGCTAAAACAGGAGCCAGAGGCTGCATTGCAAAGGGTCCTCCCTACAACTTGCTGTTCTTTATGGAAAGGTAAGGGTTCCTGTTCCTGTGTAGAGAACACTCCTGCTCTATGGGTCCTGCTCTATTGCCTGATGGCCTAGAAGCTGCACACAGCTGGAAGCCAACTTGTTTTTTTCCCTCTTAAAGGTGACCCAGCCACAGAGGGCTCACTGACAAGATGTCTTCATCTGAGTTATCAAACTTGAAAGGCCTGAGTTTACTAAACATATTTATAGAAGTTTGTTAGTACTTTTTGAAATGTTGCTGTATCTTAGCTATATCTTACTTAAATCATCAGAACATGGACTAGATGGTGAATTTCTTGTTCCTTGTAGGTATTTGATGCTGGAGATTATTCCCTGTTGTGTTCAGGTCCTAGTGAAAATGGACAGACTTGGACTGGAGGGGACTTTGTATCAGCAGATAAAGTAATCATTTGGACTGAAAATGGGCAAAGTTATATTTACAAACTACCTGCCAGGTATGCAGTAAATAAGAGGTTAGGATTTGAATCAAAGTAAAAGATCAGAATTTGGGGTGTAACTGGAAAGTATGAAAACATATGTAGTATAATATTTAATTTAGGCCCAAAACTTCAGAGCTTTTTAAGTTAGATTTTTAATCCTGATTTAACTTTGGAGTATAAAAATTACGTGGATTTTTTTATTTGAAGAAGGATATTTTTATTATTTATTTATTTAATTTTGTGCCGAGGATTGAACCCAGAGATGCTTTACCACTGAGTTACACTCCAGCCCTTTTTATTTTGAGACAAGGTCTTGTTAAGTTGCTGACAGTCTCACTAAATTGCTGAGGCTGGCCTCAAACTTGCAATGCCTTTGCCTCAACTTCTCAAGTCATGGGGATTACAGGTGTGTACCACTGTGCCCAGCTTGAAGGAGGATATTTTTGTAATGTTAATTTAAAAAATCTCTTTTTTGTTCATTGTTTAAAAAGAAAGAAAAACCCTTGTTATCACATGTAATGATAAAATAGCTAATGTCAGTATTTTAAGTGAATATTGTTCTTTTTCCAATTTTCAGTTGCCTTCCAGCTAGTGATTCATTCCGCAGTGATGTGGGGAAAGCAGTTGAAAATTTAATTCCTCCTATACAACATAGCCTCTTGGATCGAAAAGATAAAGAGGTAAAATTCTTCAGGTATCATTTATAATTGATGGTTATATTGCAAAATTTTTACAGCTGTATTTTGGTAGCTAAGCATTTGAAAGATTTTTTTTTTTTAATACAGTATCTTTATTTTATTTATTTATTTTTTGTATGAGGTGCTGAGGATTGAACCCAGTACCTCACTGCATGCGAGGCAAGTGTTCAACCACTGAGCCACAGCCCTGGCCCTGAAAGATTTAATATAATTCAAGGCACTGTGTTAAATATTATAAAACATTTTGATATGGTTAGTTACAAGCACATTCAAAATTTGCTTATTTTACAATACATAATGTGTCTATAAAATAGCATTCACTTTTCTCTAAGTGCATATGATCTTATGCTGATTACATATTGAAACTGAGCTTTTGATAAAATTCAGATATATATTTATTTTACATTCTCATACAGTTAAAACACATGCTCAGAAGAGGTATACTGACTATCTACAGAGGTCTAAGGTGTTTTGAGAATTCTGTTACTCTGATGCTGAAGGTGTCTCTACACTGGTTTTAACAAATATAATTGATTAGCGTAGTTGTTAGTGTACTATGTAAATTTAATGTGCAGGTAATAAAATATTGTGTCTATTGTTTGAATAAATATTGTGTAATGATTATAAATAAATATTTAGTTTTATTTCTTTGATATATATTGGTAGTTTCATTTTATAATTTTAAAAGGGCAAAGGTCCTTATGTAATGATTCTGATTAATAACAGTTCATCACTTGACCAGTCATTGCAGTGCCTCCCCAAAGCCATGTAAAGATTTAACTCATTAGATATCAGACATAAAGAATAAAATATTTTTTTCTCCATAAAAATAAAAGCTTATTGTATTTTCTAAAATCCTGCTTAATTTTATCTATTAGCAGTTGAAATACAATAGCTTTTAGTACTAGATTCTTGACTCTGTTCTGTGTGCAGTAAGAAAGAAACTTTGGTTTTGGAATTAAAGTTTTCTATGATGATGTTCTGGGTCTCCACAATTCATGGTTCTGAAGAGTATGTTCAATCTTTATGTGGTGGGGTAGTGAGGGGTAGGGAATTGTTTTTGTTTTTCAGGAATATTTTGGATATACAGAATGTATACACATAGGCACAATTAAAATACTCTATATCCTATCCATTCTTCACATAACATAAACTTCTGCTTACTGCTCTCTAACCTAGTTAGACAGTCACTACCAGTTAAATAAAGGGGTAGTGACTTGAATAAAAAATGCTGCACAAAACAAAACAACATATCATTTTTCTTTAAATATCAGTTCCCTAATACATTTTAAAATCAAATATGTATTGTGTGGTACGAGAGGTGCATATGTTGAAATATGGTATATGAGTATTTTTGCTGTTGTAGCAACTTTTTCAGTGTGTAGTTTTCAATTAAAATTCTCAATATTTAAGGAAAGTCAAATAATTGATTATGCTTAATATATCTAGTTTGTATAAGTTAGTGCTTTTTATGAAACAACTAATACCAAATACAGTAACTATATTATTTGTTAACTGTAATTGTCAAAATGGAAGTGTATTTCTTATTGCTCTTCAGGCTAAGATTCTATTTGTGAATGTTCCAGTATTTGTAAATGAATACTCCAAATTTTAATTTAGTATTTAATTACTTATAAATAAGTGATTCACTAAAGACATAAAATCGTATGCTGAAAATTTGGTTGAAAAAGGAAAATATACATATGACCCAGTGAATGGTTTTTGTTCCTAGTAGTCTGTAGCTAACATTTCAGGCTAGGTTCAGATTAATTATGTTAATATGACTCAGGTAAAATTACACTGCTTGTTGAAAAAATATACTCATTGAAAAAAATGGGGACCCATAGTTACACAAGACTGATGCTTTAATGTCATTCTTATTTTTGGTGACTTATCAGGAGTGAGCAAAAAAGGCAGGATTAGTGAGCTTTCTTTTTGACTTTTTAAGTAGAGACTTTTCTTTTTGGTAGAGTGGCATACCTCTGTATTAATTATTTAATAACAGGCAATTAGACAAACTGACTTATTGTGACTAGTAACAGTATTTTATAAAATAAAGAGTATAATTATTTATTTTAGAGAAAGACTGTATAGTTTGTTTCCTTGAACATTTATTTTATCCTGATTTGAATATTGGTCGACATACATATTAATGCTACAAAATTATATTAAAATACTGTTAAATAATCATGCTGCTGATACTTTTTTATCTTGTGTACTTAGGCAAGGTATTTAACATCTTTATTTGAAAAAAGGGTAATGTGTGAAATATTTTGATTAAAATATGATTAAAGATATTTGAATGATTTTTTGGCAGCTGCTAATTTGTCCTCCTGTTACTCGGTTCTTCTATGGATGCAAGGAATATTTCCATAAACTATTAATTCAGGGTGATTCCTCTGGAAGATTAAATATTTGGAACATATCAGATACTCCTGATAAACAGGAAGGTGACGAAGGTAATAGTAGCAATTTCCTCATTCTCTTAATTTAGCATGTTAAATCTTAAGCACTAAGAAATAAATTCAGAATGTTCATATATAATTTTCTTGTAAGAATTATATTTGGTGAATGTGATCTTTATTGGTATATTACAGAATCAACTAATGATGTAATTTTTTTAACATGCATAAATATTTTTCTTTTATGCAAAATTAAATCTCTACAGGGCTGAAAATGACAACCTCTATCAGCTTGCAAGAGGCCTTTGATAAACTGAATCCTTGTCCTGCTGGAATTATAGATCAGCTGAGTGTGATTCCTAATAGTAATGAGCCTCTGAAAGTGACTGCAAGTGTGTACATACCAGCACATGGACGGCTTGTTTGCGGCCGTGAGGATGGAAGCATAATTATTGTACCTGCCACACAGACTGCCATAGTACAGCTGTTGCAAGGGGAACACATGCTCAGAAGAGGTATACTGACCATCTACAGAGGTCTAAAGTGTTTTGAGAACTCTGTTACTCTGATGCTGAAAGTGTCTCTACACTGGTTTTAACAAATATAATTGATTAGTGAAGTTGTTATAGTGTACTATGTAAATTTAATGTGCAGGTAATAAAATATTGTGTCTGTTGTTTGAATAAATATGGTGTAATGATTATAAATAAATATTCAGTTTTATCTCTTTGATATATATTGGTAGTTTCATTATTTATTTATATGGATTACCAACTATATTATCTGTAATAATGTAATCTTCTAGAACAGTGCTGTCCAGTGGAAACCTAACGTAAACTATATATTTAATTTGCTAATAGTCATGTTAGAAAGTAAAATGAAACAGATGAAATTAACTATAATATTGTATTTTATGTAACCCAATATAGCAAAACTATCAGTTCAACTCGTAATCCGATATGAAAATTATTATTGAACTATTTAAAATTATTTCCTGAATTATTTTAAATTATTTTTGTGCTAATTGTTTAAAATCTCCTCTCTGTTTGATAGTCATAGACATATGAACCAAAACTAGCCCCATTTTAGGGGTTCAGTAATCTCATGTAGTCACTGAATTTGGACAGACCAGTTTTATATGATAAAATTGGAACCTTTTTATGTGATAAGACTTATAGTTCTTCTGACATTTCATGTTTACTTTCACTTGTTGAAACTTTCTAAGACTTTAATTTTTGCATTTTAAATCCAAAACCTCATTCACAGGTTGGCCACCTCACAGAACACTCCGTGGTCATCGGAACAAAGTCACATGTTTGCTATATCCTCATCAGGTCTCAGCTCGCTATGATCAAAGATACCTGATATCTGGAGGTGTGGATTTTTCGGTCATAATTTGGGACATATTTTCTGGAGAAATGAAACATATCTTCTGTGTTCATGGTGGTGAGATTACTCAACTTCTAGTTCCACCTGAAAACTGTAGTGTAAGTTGGTTTTTGTATTGATATCCTTGCATGGAGCCCTCTATATATTCTCATTTGACTTTAGTTGTAGGTGACTGGGTTTAGACATACAGCCTATGATATGGAACCTTCGTATGTATAAAAAAAAATGATGCCATTCACTTACATTTAGAAGCATACAAATTGATTCCGCATACTTATACATGTGTAAGTAGTACAGGTGTTAAAATTGAATTGGAAAGATAAGTGCCAAATTGAGATACTGGTTTGATTTTGGGAGTGAATGGAATCAGTATGGACGAGAACAAAAAATAACTCCTGGAAGGGTCATGTTTATTTACTTTTAGTTAGTATGTATTTAATATTTCTTTCACATTGATAACTAAATTATCAGAGCTGTTTTTATATTGTTGGAACGACTTAGAACAGGATTTTTGAAAGAAAGTATTTTAAAATAAATTATTTAGTACTAAAATTATGCTTATGTATGGAGGATATTGGCTAAGTTATTTAATACATTAGCTAAAAAATGATAACTTCTCATTTAGTGTGTTTAAATTTTTACTGTCCCATACACTCCAAAAATATCCAGAAGGGGGCAGCATAGATTTGTGAAAATAGAATGTCAGGCATCTGTCCTAAGTATTAGATTGTGCTTTCATTTAACAATATTAGATTCCTAGATCTAGAGACAGGTGTGATAATATAAATGGTTTATTTGGTTAAGTGTGTGCTAGCATGACTAAGTTTCACAGCCAGTAAGAGCAATTAACAAATTAATTTTTCTTTTTAATAATTGTGCTTTTAGTCTGAAGAAATATTGAATACTTTTGCTCGAATTAGCTCTGATCTCACATTTTTGAGTCTGGGGTTTTCTTATTAACTTGTATTCTACATTTCAAAAGCAGTGTCTATAATTATACCATAGTCTCTGAAGCCAAGCAGAATAAACTCTGTTAATACAAATTAAACAAAAGCAGGAAACAGCTATATTTATTTTTCTAAAATATAATTTTTTTCTCTTAACACTTAATGATCTTAGATTTCGAGAGCATTTACATTTGTTTTTATTGTACTAGCAACATCTTTTTGAAATTAATTTCATTAAAAAAATTAAGAAATACATAGTAACAGGAAATACAGGCATTTTAAAAAGATGATTTGGTTATTCTTCAGTGTCACTAAGTAAATTATGAGATCATTATTTTTAGTGATATTCTGTAACCTATTTAATTTTACTGGACATTTTAGAATGTTGCTTTTTAAAACTGTTTTCTTTCCTACCAGTGTGGGGGCAAGAATTACTGTAGCTAAGTATTTTTGTAGTTCCAGAATAGTTTCTTTGGATAAATTCTTAAGTTTGAAATTGATATAAAAGAAGAACATATTGATATAAAAGAGAGTACTTGCCTAGCATGTGTGAGGCACTAGGTTCGATCCATAGTACCACATAAAAACAAATAAATAAAATAAAGGTATTGTGTCCATCTACAACTAAAAAAGTTAAAAAAAAGAGAAGAGCATGTTATTTTTTAAAGGTATTGAATAAATATTATGAAATTGCCTTCAAAAGATTAGAAATAATTTTGTGTAGCTACCATTGTACTTTCATAATTCTCTATCCTGTTTATAATCTTCCAAACTTTAATGATTTTCCAGACTTGTAGGTAGCTATATATAGAATGTAAGTAAGTATAGTTCTCATCTTATTTGGAAACCACAGAAGTATTAAGATTGCAATACTATATTGGTTGTGCATTCTGATTAGTTTATATTCTTTATAATTTTATGTTTCCAGGATTTAAGCTACTATCAAAAACTAATGTATTCAAGATGAAAATTACTTTCCCGCTATATTATCTCTATGTTAAAATTTTATGATGCATCCTGTCTTATGTAGTAAGCTGAAAAAAAACTCAGTAGTGTGCCAGGGGACTGTCTGTGAAGGTCCTTTTTGTAGTAATGAGAAAGATGCATTCTTATTCTGGCCATGCTGATATTGTACAACATTTAAGAAATTTTAGAAATTCCTCTATTTGGGGAGGGTTTGTTTAGTTCTTACATTTGGATCTTATTATCTTTGGTAGTAAAATTCCATTGGGTATGAAATTTATTTTTTAGTAACAAGTGATTTGGTGTTAAATATTGCAAATAAAGTAGTTGCTTAAAGTTTATGTTTTAGTTTAGGGTGAAAGTATGACACAAAACAAAGGCTAATTTTTCTTGAGAACTTAATAATATGGCATTTTTCAACAGAAAGTATAATTTCTTTTAAAATGGCAAAAAATTGTTAGTTAAAAGAAATTTTTTTCTAAGAATATTGTTCAGTTAGGTGCATCAACATAGTTTTGATTAGGATCAGGGATATCCTCATGGGTAAGCTAGTCTGTATTTGATAGAGTTTAGTCTATGAGTGACCCAGACTAGCACATAGGTGATTATTATGCAGCATGATTAATATTATGAAAAAGTGTTTTTCAGGGCCATTTGGGAATAAATAGAAGGTTCACTTTGGAGATCAGCTTTGGATGGTTTTGGAAGACTTCCAAGAAGGGCAATATCTATTGTATTGGGGGATATTAATTTTGTGGGTGTATATAAAATTATACATGGTTTATGAACAACCTCTGTTTGCAGAGGCACTTAGTTTTATGTATATTCTGTAAAGGGATACTTGATGAGTTTTTCTGACTAACATCTGATAGATCTGTCTATAATAGATAAAGGCTTGCTTTTAGGCAAATGCTGGCAGGAATTTGACATATATACATTACTTTGAAAATAGCAGGTATGAGATCAGAGTAAAGGTTTTATATGTCTTGCAGACTAGCAGTATATGAGTATTAGGACACTTTATTTCATCCTACTGAGGAAGGATGTTCGAAAGATAAAAGTTAAGATAATAAAATATGAAACTGTATTGAAAGGTGAAATATTTAAATTTGTCTAAAGAAAGACTTGACAAGTTAGGAAAGTAAAAAGAAAGTGGAATGATACAAAGTTAGAAAGAAAGAATGTATATTAATACTAACAAGCATAGTTTTTATGATTGTTTTGAGTTATTATGAATGGTTTCTTTAGCCACTGGTAAAGACTTTCAAAATAAGTTGGAGAAGGGCTGGGGTTGTAGCTAGGTGGCAGAGTGGTTGCCTAGCACACGTGAGGCACTGGGGTAGATCCTCAGCACCACATAAAAATAAATAAATAAAATAAAGGTATTAAAAAAAAGAAGTTGGAGAAAACATTCTGCTATTAATCTATGGACACGGAAATAACAGGGCTCCTGGTTAGTCAGGCTAGTGAAAAGGAACCCTTTAGAATCAGATAGACCTGGGTTTGTGTCTTCATCTTGATCAGTAAGTTACTTATCGTCTTTGAGCTCTAGCACCAGTTTCGGTGAAGGGTTTTTTCATATTTACAAATAAAGCCTCCTATAATGGGAACTCAGTAAATCATTACTGTTGTTATTATTTGTTTTTTTGATTTGACTACATTCTTGTTTGGATGATAAAGGCCTGAATCTGGGCAGTATGTTCATTCATTTTCAGTTCCAGAATGACTTAATCATAGATGTGCTTTGTTCTTATGTCAGGAGCTGCTATTCATTTCCTTGTTTCCCAACTATGGCCAGTTGGTTTTAGAAAGTGTTTTAGAGATGGATCTCTTTTCTCTATCAGTCTGACTTTGAATCTTTTTTGGGGAGAAGGGGGATTTAATATTATTAAAAATTAATATACATTTTAATTGACACATAATAATTGTAATTTTCTGGGTACAATGTGGCATTTCAATAATTTTGTATCTTATTATCACATGAAATAAAAAGTTTTGGGGGCTGGGGTTATGGCTCAGCGGCAGAGTGCTCGCCTCGCATGTGCAATGTCCTGGGTTCAATCCTCAGCACCACATATAAATAAATAGTTATTGTGTTCAACTACAAATATAAAAATAAATATTTTAATTAAAAAAAGAAATAAAAATTTTAAGTTAACAAGAGACAACAACTGAATAAAAGGATTTTACTCTCTCTTAATTCCTTGGAAACTATATTGCCAAGTACTGTGTCTTTCTGCTCATTTCCTGAAAATTGGAGTTTTTAGCTGTCTGAGAGGCCCAGACTAGCTCATTTCCTCTGTACGTTTGTGGGTGGGTTTTAGAGGGGCAAGCCTTTGCCAGTATGACCCCAGATGAGGAATGGTGTGTTTGACTTCACGTGTTTTTTTTTCTTAAGGCATAAATTACTTGCTTAATTATGGACTCTAAAGGTTAAGTTTCACTCTATTCTTTGATATAGCTTTAAAAAATAAGCAGACATTCTTTCAAAACAAAGAGATACTTTAGCATATATGTTCTGTTATTTACTACTGGAAAGAGACACATGGGTCCTTTCAGTGTCTCAAGTACTAACAATGAGGTCAGTATCTGTTTCCATGAGAAAGGAAAGCAAAGGTTTTCCATGGTTCAAGGAGAGTTATGTAAGTTCAGTGTTTATTTCTTGTAAGGAAGCTGGTATAATGATAAATAGGTTAAGGTAAGGCAAGCAGATTTTAAATGGCTAGGAATGATATAGTACTATTCATTATCTAAGTTGAGGAAGCAGAAAGTAGAGGACAGTCCCAACACACAGCCCTCTGGAATCTAAATGCATTTTTTTCCAAGAACTAAAGCCCTGTGTCTTGGAAGGTGATGATTCCTGCCATGTGTCAGGTCAAGGTTCTGGGACCAGGCAGATAAGAGACATTTGACTGGTGTGCAGAGTGAAAACGGACAAAACTTTTGAACTGCTTAAAAATAAAAACCTTAGAATATGTTCAGAGTCTGTAGATTTGCCCATCTTGTCCTTAAAACCCATAAATATATAATTTGAAATTAAAGATAGCATTTTTACATTTTAAGGTGTGAACTGAAAAGTAATAAAGTTCAGTAGAAAAAAAAACATATAAAGAAATACTCAGAAAACAGTGGAAGGAATTTATTAAGTTGTTGGAATGAGTATTTTCATTGACTTATTATTAAAAATG